CCCATCACCTACTTGAGAGAGCAAGTATGAAAAACATGACATTGTAGTAAATTATAGTCAACAAAAACAATGAGGAGGCTCTAGATCACCAATCAATGCAAAAATCAAAGGGCAGAAGAGCTATAAAGCACAGAATCCTTCCCTCAAGTCTACACACAAGGTGGGAAATCTCCACAGGAGCAACCTCAGAAAGATGCTTTGATCAGAAACTTCTACTGAGGAACTGACTGTGGAAAGTGCTGCTCTGCCCTGCAGTGTTTATTAGTTACAGACCCAGGCACAAGGTCACTCTCATGAGGGCCTTTATAGTGTATAGTACATTTTCTGTTCAAAACAGTTCTTAAAACTTTCTGAATGCTTGAATTTACTAGGAAAGAATGAGCAGAGACTTAAAATTAGAGACAACTACTGTAATTTTTTTTTGGTAGATTATCACAACTATACCGGAATAAAACCAACTTCTTTTCAGTGCCAAACCGAACTCAATTAGGACTGCTATGAAGCAAGTAACTCCCAAATGCTCATCGTCTGGTCTTTTTCTTTTTTGTTTTTAATAAGTTTTACAGATAAAATGCTGCTTTTCTAAAGCTCTTATGTGTACTTTGACCATGAATACTTTTCTCCATATAACATCAACAAAGAATAGAATATATCACAATATCTTGGGAACAAAGACAACAATGATGCTTTTTTCTGAAATTTTAATGCTGAATTTCAGAAAAGCCTCTTTCTTGCCTTTTGCATATCTAGAAGATAGTTAACTCCACTGCTGCAAATATTTCTTTAAATTTGTTGTCCTTGTAAAAAAGGTTTTTCTTGGTCTACTGTGTAGGCCAGTTAATATATTCAGCATATGACAACTCAAATCTGCAAACAGCTAAAGCAAAACCAATCTTTCCCAAACTCTTCCTGAATGAGGAATTCCTGACTGTATGCAAACTCAAAATAAATTTTAAGGGGAGTTCGGCTACTCGGGAGAAATAGAGTGACACTGCTCAGAACCACCAGGATGAAATTAAGAAAGCCAAAGTTGGGCTGTATTTGAAACTGGTAGTGAGGGTAGAAGCCACAGGGACCTTCTGCAGGCTACACTGACAAGGGGGAAAAAAAAAAAAAGATTAAGCAAAGCAAGAGCAGCTATGGAATAGAAGGAGGATCTAGCAATAAAAATATATGTGGAAGACTGACTTACTGTATGTCTGCCTTCTTTGCCTCAGTCCTTCCTGATAAGGTCTACTGTCAGCCCTCCTGGGTTTCGGCCACTGCGCATTTGAGGATGAAGGACTACGTCAGGGTTGAGAATGGTAAAAGTTGGAGACAGCTAAGAGCAAACTGGATTTACAGAATCCCTGAGTCCCCAAGAAGAATATGGATCAAGTCACTGTGGAAGCCACTTCTAGGTACATGAAATAAGTGACTCGGAACAGCCACCACTGATTGAATTATGCCTCATCACTACCTACCACAAAATGACTGGTCTGGTGGATGAGGGGAGAGCAGTGGATGTCACTTACCTTGACTTAAAAGGCTTTAAACTTGGGTGCCCATAACACCTTTGCATCCAAATGAGGGAGAAAGAGACTGCACAGGTGGACCGCAAGGTGAGTGAATAACATGCTAGACTACCAGCCTCAAAGCATGGTGGCCACAGCCCTGATAACCAGCAGGTGACCTCTTACTGGCAGTGCTCTTCTAACTTCTTACTCCAAGTGCCTGACTGGCAGCTATAAAGAAGGCAGCACCCAGCTCTTCAGAGAGGTGCCCAGCAGGAAGGAGAGCACACCAGGGTCACAAACTGCAGGAAGCGTCGCTCCAGTGCAACACATGGAAAACGTTCTTCATAGGAGGGTGGTCAAATACCAAACCTCTCTGCCTGGAAGCAGCCTGCAAACATTACACTTTGAAGATGTATTACTTCAGTTACTTTTACTTCTTAGCTCTAAATAATCTTCTGGGTTATGTGCCAGATTTTTCTTGAACAAATGTTGTTTCTGCCCAATGCACCAATTACAGTGGGCATTTCTGGTTTCTTAGGAAGCTGGCTGTATGCTTCATCATTGAGGATTTTGGGTTTGTTTTGTTTTTAATTAACATTGCAGTTCTTCACGTTCCATATCACTCAACGACCATTTTCCGGGGCCTTTTCTGAAAAACTGTTAATTTTTAATTCTAGAAGTTTTTCTTAACTAACCACTTGTGTTTTGTCCCTCACTGTAAGTATGATACACATTTAAAATAATTTCTGGTCTTGGAGGATTTTCTTTCTCTTTAAGGTCCACGCATACTTTATAATAGCTCCATTAGCTATAATCACCTAAAAGCTATCAATTTTTAGTCAGATGGCTAATGACTCCCTGTGCATGCAAAGGCATATCACTAACTATGGCACACCCACATCACATCATAAACTATTTCATAGTTAATGTCTTTTGATCATCTCCATATGGGAAATTTCACACATAAGTAGAAGTTATTCATAATATCTATATAGTTCCTTTGAGAATGAAAATCAGCTGTTGCCAGAGTGTGGAAATGCTGCTTTTCCAAAACAAGGAGCTGTCTTGCATTGATTCTGTTTGCTTCTTCTTGCAGCCAACTATCAGGCCCTTTGCTCCCAATCAGAAGCAGTAAGATGGCACAGGCGCTAACTAGATATATCAAAGCAGAAACCAGTGATGTTTGCTAGAACACTACTGTAGCTAGATGTGGCTAGAACAACTACTGGACATCCTCCCAGTAGCATTAGTGTAAGAGACAAACTGCTGGTGAAAGCATCTCTGTAACTTACGGCAAACTAAGGGCTAAAGCCAGCCTTTAGCCCACCTTTTATCTGACACGTCTCTTTCTCCTTCCAGGCATCTGAAAGTGTATACAAGTTAAACGCTTATGACTTTTAATAGCTCCAAGAAGTTCTCACTACTAATTCATTATTCTCTTTTTAGCTCTAATAACCTTCACTAAAATGAAACTCTTCACTAAAATCAACTGTGGGATAACTCTATTTCTCTTTAGAATCCAAGCAAGCTTGGCCCTTTAGCCTCACGTGCCTTATTTATTAGAGATACTAGAAGACATGAGCACTGTTTAATTTCTATCAAGCTCTACAGAGATACAGAGTGGTTTTCAGATTAAGAAATTGGAGCAGAAAGAATATCTGTATTTCAAGAGGCTTAGAAGGAACCCTGCTACTTACAGAAAACTTGATATATTCTGTCTTTCTATGCTTGCTGAGCTACCAGACTACATATATCCAGAGTTGAAGTTAAGAAAGTCTAATCAAGCATTAATATGGTTTTAAGACACTAATATGGTTTCAAGGCATTAAAAGTGGAAATGTATGACAGCACAGTGATGTTGCCAAAATTAACTCTAGCTTGCAAAAGCTGATGACAATAAAACCAAGGGAGGTATTAAATTATGAATCACCAACTTTTTTTTTTTAAGTAAAACTCTATGAAGGCAATGTTTCAATTTAACTTGAGGTCAAGTAAAAGTTTGACACTTGCAAAGATTACAAGATCAGTTTATATTCACACATTTAACCAAGAGCCTAGTAACAAATCAAGTGTGTCGCATCATCCGATGTGTCCCATTCTTGTTAAAGTACTGTTAAAAGATGCAAGGGAGAGCAATTTTAATTCATAAAAATCCTTTATTCTATCCTGTAGAAAAAACCATTTATCCTAGCATACTCTAGGTCCTAAGGCAAATTGATGTGATATTGCATGTGTAATCCATCTATATCCCTGCTTTATTCATAGCATCTCTTTTGTCATCATGTAAATTTCAGCAAATACTGTAAAAAATTACCCACCTAAGCAGATTTCTTTGTCATCATAACTACCTTACCAACTCTGTTCAAGGCCTTCTGGAGGCTTCTGTTCTGAAAGCACAAATTTACCCCAACTCATCGTTTACTCGGAAGGATGGCAAACACTGTTTGGTTAATGAACATTCCACAATCTGCTTTTGTGATTATACCTGTAAAATCTACTCATAAAACACAGTAACGTTCACAGTTTACTGTGACCAGATTTTTCCCTATGTGCTATCATTGCCTTCTAATGTCTTATGAAACTTCTTAGGGAGATGGCAATCAGGGCAATTTCTGAAATCTTTCCCTTAATTTTTAGTGCTGGCTCTAGCACAATAACCACGCTCATGCACTTTCTGTTGAAAATCAACACCAAAAAAGAGCTGCAGCCTTGATGCTGTACATAAAACTAATGGTTCCATCACACAGCATCAAGAAGTCAAGAATCATTTTCATTACACAGCACTGAGAAGCCACCTACTCTGCAAGGCTATACAAAGGGCAACAGATATTGAATTTAAGTGCACCACTCATTTTGCCCAAGTACAGATGGACCAGATGGGTAGATGTCACTATTTCACACTTCTCTTCCTCTAGTTACAAACAAACGTGCTATGGTCTTTACCGATACCAATATGCAAACACCAACTAGTCTATCCTCAAGCCTATCATACCATCACTCAGAAATCTTAACGGTTTTAAAAGAGTACTGGAATGAAACACATCATCCTGAACACTTATCAGAGGCAATTCAATCCATGAACGTGTTTGGCTGCAACATCAAAATGCTAGACAGACAAACAGGAGACATAGCTTTGAAATGCCTTTATTCCTTTTACAGGGAAACCATGCTCTTTTATATGACAGTTAATTTTTGCTGAAGGTGAACTTTCTATTCTTAATAGGCATCCTAACACTGTATTTGAGTGACTCTAATCCAGAAACATGCTGGAGATTGAAAATCCCACTACTCTGAAGCCTCTCATATTGAGACTGCCCCTTGCACCCCCAATTATTCTTAGCTACTTTGACCTCCTGAGAGTTTAAGATATGTCACTATGCAATATAGAAAGTTTTCTGGGAAGCCTCAGGAACAGACACGTTTTCATCTAGAATCAATCATTTTTTCCCAAAATCACCATATATTGTTGAGGACTTTTATGGGAGGGGGAGCAGTATAACTTACCAGTTGTCCTGTTTATTGCAGTCGTCATCTTCATCCAGCCTACAACAGAGTCCTTACACTAAGTGTTACGGCTCCCACCTACCAGGAAGCAAAAGAATTATCAATCAAGGTCATTAGGGAAGTACCAGACTGTGCACTGTCTCAGCAACATTTCCATAGCATGGGTGGATACCCAAGGAAAGTAGCTGCTCGATGCATTAGGTGGCTGGAGAGAAGCAATGGCTTATCGATTTCTCTCTTTCTCCCCTGCCACTCATTTCTTAAACAGTAATCTCTGCTAAAGAAATCAGAAAGAAAAGAAAGATTGCTATAAGCAGCTACTGCAGGCCAAATGCACACTCGAGGCATGCGTCCAAACCTGTGCAGTCTAAACACTAGGAGAACCAATGAAGTTGTCATAAGATTTCATGCTTCTAACATGCCTTTTCCAAGTATTACAACTGCTTTATCAAAAAAATGTCGGGTTTGCTTTGAGGTAAAAATGACAGGCATCTCAGTTGCCAAACTTATTGGCATTATGACATTTGAAACTCAATCTTTGTGGAACTTAGAGATATAAAAACTTATTTACAGACAAGAGGTTGATGTGATGATACATAAGGTGATGAGAGAAAACAAGACTGAGATCATCTTTCTATTTGAAGTTCACCTTTGCCTGGTGCTAACTTTCTTTACAGTGGAATAAACAAGAAAGTTTCCTTAAATAAAGTTTTTGACATTGCCTCTTTTAGGAGCTGAGAATTGAAAATAACCCACTGATTCCACAAATGAAACAAAGTTTTCAAGGATAGTCACATTTTACTATCAGAACATTATTATTTACATTACAGAAACTATTCTTTAAGTCAAGACCCTCAAAAAAATAGCTTTTTCTGTTTTAGCTCTGTACAGTATGTTACACGTAGTTGTAAGCATCCAGCAGCTGCAGCTATCTAGGAAAGGGGGTGAAATGAGAAACATTAGCAAATGAGAAAAATTGGCATTATTTTATAAAATAAATTACGCCACAGTAAACATCCCGTGTGCCAAATAAAGACATCACATCAATGAAGCTATCTGTTTGAATTAAGTTGACTTGAGACACCCATTGAGCTCAGTACACAAAGTAAAATTGGCTCAGATAAGATCCCAACTAATGTGAAAAAATTAAGGGAAAGGAGTCTTTTCTTTACAGATTGCCAAGGAGTATTCCTGGTGGGTATACTCACAGGGGTAACTCAAAATGTTAGCCTGAAAAGTGGGCCCATGGCAATCTCATGAGGTTCAACAAGGCCAAGTGCAAAGTGCTGCACCTGGGTTGGGGCAATGTCCAGTATCAACACAGGCTGAGGGATGAACAGACAAAGAACAGCCCTTCTGAGAAGGACTTGGGAGTGCTGGTGGATGAGAGGCTGGACATGAACTGGCAACGTGCACTGGCAGCCCAGAAAGCCAAATGTGTCCTGGGCTACATCAAAAGCAGTGTGGCCAGCAGGTTGAGGGAGGGGATTCTGCCCTTCTACTCTGCTCTTGTGAGACCCCCATCTCGAGTACTACATCTAGCTCTGGAGTCAACACAGGAAGGACACTGGCCTGTTAAAGGGAGTCCAGAGGAGGGCAAAAAAGATGATCAGAGGGATGGAGCACCTCTCCTATTAGAAAAGGTTGAAAGAATTTGGTTTAATCTGGAAAATAGAAGGCCTCAGAGTGACCTAATCACAGCCTGCCAGCACCCAAATGGCATCTACAAGAAAGATGGAGACAGACTACAAGGGCATGTAGTGACAGGACAAGGTGGAATGGCTTTAAATTGCAAGTAGGTTTAGATTAGATATTGACAAAAAATTATTTACTGTGAGGGAGGTGAGGCACTAGAACAGGTTGCCCAGAGGAGCTGTGATGCCCCATCCCTGGAAGAGTTCAATGGCAGGTTGAATGGGACTTTGTGCAATGTGGCCTAGTGGAAGGTGTCTCTGCCCATTACAGGGGGGTTGGAACTAGATGGTCTGAAGATCCCTTCCAATACAAACCATTCTATGATTCTACGAAAATCTTACAGTTTCGTTTCTCTGCAAAAATGGAAACAGATGTCTAAATTTTGGGCATCTGTATTTTTCAGACAGCGCTTAAAAAACCCACAACCAACATTACAGTAACACCTTTACCAGCAAAATACAAGCAGAAAAAACATGGCAAAGGAAAATTAGGAAGTATGTTAAATTGAGAATGAAACAAGTATTTAGCTTATGTAACACCAGAATAAACACAGAAGCACATCCTATCTTCCTGTCATTCAAACACATCCAACATCCCTATAGAAAATGGAGAACCTTTACATGTGAAATGTAAAGATGTAAGAGGAGTTAAAGGTTCCCAGTTTGAAGTCAGAAGCTGAATACCTTCAAAACTTCAAAGCTGAATAAAACATTTCTCACTAAGCATGAAACCCAGCTGCTTAAAAAAAAAAAATACTCCAGGGCACTAAAGATTTAACCCATATTATGCGTTCACAAATCTTGACACAGTAGGTACTATAGGCGAAACACTGAAGAAATGCACAAAACACCTTCAGGCAAACCAGATGCTAACCTTCAGGCTAACCAATGCTTCTAACAGTTGCTTGAAGTGTTAGTCCATTCCTGGTTCATCCCCCCCCACCCCTCCACCAATATAAAATTATTTACAATAACTGAATGAGCATTTCTTCACACGTTTGTGTCGGCCTAGAAAAACAAGCTTGTAAGTGGGCAATACTGTGGTTTTTCACCCTGACAGACTGCACCTTGCCACTACACAGTATCTTATTGAATGTTCTCTGAACACATTTGTAAACCATTGGGTTGCCAAAAGCCCTTCAACAGGTATTTAACACTACAATGACTTTTTAGGATGGCAGTATCATTTGCTTCTGTTAGATGTCATGTTTCTGTCAAAATCAAAATCAAAGAGAGCCCTTAAATTCCAAGTCCACAGCTGACCTTTCTGCCTCAGAGAATTAATACTCTTCACTTTGCTCAATTGTATCTTCTGTACTTCCCCGTCAGTGATTCATCTCATATCCAGTAAGACAGTTTTCCTTAAGAAGAGTGACACTCCTCCATTCACAGTGACAGGCATTCTTCTCAACTACTCTCAAGCAGCACAAGCATCTTGCAGCCTTTCTCAGTACAGAGCTAGGATCTTATTTCGTGATTGCCTTCTTCACTTTCTCCCTTTTTTTCCTCAAAGTTGCACATAATTTACACATTTTCTCAGTTATCTTCTTCAGTTATGCTGTTAACACCTCTTTTGTTACCTACATTCCTAGACCTTCTTGTGTACCACACCAATTACCACGACACCTCAACCTTTCTTCTTTGATGCTCACCCAGACCTTAAGTTGTCAACTTTATCATTTATTTAGTTTCTTTCTTCTGTTTTCATATCTAAAGCATCCAATTCCTGGTCATATCACTGCCTGTTTCTTTCCTTATTAAAGTTCCCATCAACAAAAATTCCTGCATTTCTTACTCTAACCCATTTCAGTTTCCAGTCCCTTTGCACAACCTTAAAGCACATACACACATTGACATTTGTCCACTATCACTCTTCATCTTGAAGATGGGCATTTCTGAACAGAAACTTTTCATAAAAGTGAACTTTTGTGAAGTAGCATTTGCCTCTCAATATTCAAACAGGAGGTTTTAAGTTTTCTGTTCATTGAATTTTTCTGTCTCATAGCTGAATCTAACTAGAGTGATGGAAGCCCTTTAGAGCCTTAAACTCCAAAATACTACCATGAGATAGTATGGCATTTACTTCAGTCCTTACTGGAGTTAACAGATGTTTCCATCAATGTTTAACAAAACAATTGTCTGAGAAAGTCTGTTTGCTTCTTAAGATTCACTTCGTAACTATAACTATAGTTATATAACTATTAACTATATCAGTAATTATAACATGGAAAAGCTTTACCAGGGATGACAGCACCAGAAAAGACTGAACTGAGTAAAATGCTATTGAGGATGTTCAATAGCTGTGCAGAAGAGGGGACAACTAGTATTTCAGAAAGTATTATTGCTTTTGTTAATGCAAGCGAAGTCGATAAGATAAGTAAGCAGTGATTTGCTTAAAATACAGCGACTTGAGCCATGAAGAACCATATTTGAAAACACTGAAAGGAAAATAATTATTCCAGCCTCCATTGATGGAAAGCCTACTACATGCAGCTTCCTCAAAAAACGGAAAGAAAAAAATTAAAGTGCACAAAAATTCTATGTCTCACTGGGATCCGATCATTAGAGGTCTAAGCGTAACTTGCACAAAACTTTTCAGTCAATGAAATTAACATCTAAAACCAGAAACTATTTAGAAGAATAGATCTGAAGACCTCTGGAGTCAACAGAATGAAAAAGCATATTAGGAACTTTGCAGGTAGGAGGTAGGGGGAAGGCAGGAAGCATTAAGTCAGAGCAAACAAAACCCAAAGCATTGGAAAATGCTTGTGCAAATGTTTCTAGGAAAAAACCCCATGGAAAGTTTCTCTATAAGAAGTTACAAAAATCTATTTTACTACTGAAGGGTTCTCTTGGGCTTACAAAAAAAAAAAAAAAAAAAGAAAAAATATATTTTCAATTTAGAGCAGCAGTGCTGTATAAAGCAAACATAATGAGAGTAGAAATCAAGGATGGATAATAATAGTCATATTTTAAATTTCCACTTCCAATGATACCAAGGACACAAACATGCTATCTAAACCATGTTAACATTACCTTGTCTTAACAAGTCAGCATTTATGAGCTAATCTGTAACAAGAAATGACAGGGTGCTCACTCTGTCCCAAATGCAAATTCCAGCTAAATTTATGAATTTTAATTTGCACTTGCACTAAGCTAAGCATGTGGACAAGAGCAGTTACAATTTAATTCGCTGAACACTGACCTAGCTCTTATCAGATCACGTATTCCCACATCTTAGAGAGACAAAGTAAATCTGATTACAAAAGGATTCAAAATGGTTTGAGTGTAACAAACACTCAACATTGTTAGCAAATAATCAGCAAGCTTTAAGTGCAGATCTAAGACACTTTCATACATGCTTCCAGGGATACTTCAGGAAACAATTCCCTCCTCCACCAAAATATTAATGCTTTAAGATCATATGTAAATAAGTAGAACTGCTGCTGAGAAATATTCTTACTGTGAAAGGAATAGGAAAATATACTGTAAGGAAGAAAGCCAGTCAAGAAAGGCAGCAGTCTAGGGAAAGTAATTTCTTGTATTATCTGAAAGAAATGGACAATTGTAGATCCAAGACAAGAGATGTGTTAAAGACAGGATGATTACCTTAGCATCATTCAGCTTGAAAAGAAAACACACATTTTCATCTAAACAATGTAGTCCTATTACAGGACTGCTAAAATTAAAAGATCATAGACAATTTTTTTCCCCAGTTCATTTAGTACACTTACCAGCATTTGCTGTATAGACAATTTCACTGATGAGTCAGCTGTACTTCCTCTCTAAAGTGCTTTGAGGGGAGCTCAAGTGCATCCTCTTCCTCAATCTTTGAAGTGTTTACCTGTACCACCAGCTTTGAAAGTAAAAGGCAACAGGCAGGCAATGCAGAGACAGGAATGAGGCTGAGTACAATAGTATATTACTCCAAAAATATTTTAGTGTTGCTTTTCAACCCTTTCAGGGACAAACAGTCTTTTTTTTTTTTAACTGAGACTTTAGATACTATTTAAAAGATACTATTTAAAATTGACATTTTAGAATTCAGTCAGTAATATATCAGTTGACAAGATTAAAAGAACAGATAATATGAAATCATATACATTATATACACAAGTACATAACCAAACAGGATTCTTAGTAAATAAAATCATTGGTGTGCTATAACAAAAAACAATTTGAAAACTCCCAATATTAAATGAAACAGAATCAATTTTGGGTACTAAGAACTAATGGGAGCACATTGTAATAGGAATGTTGATGAATGTGAAATTACAAAAAATAATTATGTCTGTACAAACACAGAGTAAAAAGATTTTTAACAGTGGTGGAAATACTACAGATGAGTACTAAGACTGGCAAAGATTTGTCTACATGTGTGAGGGAAGGAAGGAGGGGAACTATTTAATGGACAAATATCGAGATTTATTCAACATTTACATCAAATATTTTATATTCCAAAAGTGACGAGAAAAGCTAATGTACTCTGCAGTCTTCACAGTTACTAATAAAGTTATTTTCCAAATCCAAAAATTAAATCTTTAGGATTAAATATTTGACATATGATTTAAAAAAAATTAGCAAGGAGTCAATTTTGAATGTGCATGGTTTTTATTACTCATCTTCATGTTAAAAGGACAAGTATGCTGCAAAAACATGAGAACACAACTGTTTCTGAGCTGAAGACTGCAACTAAGGAAATTTCCACCATATTTAAAGGTTAGGAAGCTCTCCAAGCACATGGTTTCATGGTATTTGTTATAGGTCTGTTGACCTAGGAAAAGTAACCTGTTTCTTATATAATCTGGAACTTAAAGAGAATTAAAGAAATTGACTTTTTCTTTTTTAAATTAAATCTAAGCGGTAGACAGGCAGGCTGCATAGTACTAGAGAATCTAAACATGACTATGCAAGAGCAAAACATTGCGAGTTAACACAGTTAAAATCCAGGAATGAACACAGTTTAGACTTCATCTCTTTTCTATAAGGAAGAGATTGAAAGAAGGTAGTGGTTGTGGTTTCTCCTACTTTCTTCAAATGTTAGAGGGGTTTTTTTTGTTTTGGGATATTTGGGGATTTTTTCTTTTTTTTTTTTTTGTAGTTAAATATAATTCTCAAATTTTCACTACTAACACCTAAAATCACATTTAAGATTTTTTTTCCCTTGATCACAAAAGTGTAGAAATGAAAGTATTATAAGCAGCAATAAAACCTTATCCTGTACTTCCATATGCAATTAGCAAGGAAGAATTTCAGTATAATATCACAGTGGGAATATTTCAGTTTCTGGAAGAATACAGCACAGAACAAAGCAGATGTCTTGACTAGAAGAGAAAGGATTTTATTATTGATAACAATGAACTCCCTAAAATATCAACCTTAGAGGTGAATTACGGGAAATGTAAGAATATAAAGCTCCCTCAACCTGAGAAAAAGTCAAAACAAATGTAAGTATGTAAAAGAAAGTGACTACAGGTAGAAAACTGTAATAGATAAAATGAACACAAACACTAGGGGAGATTGAGTTACCATCATGTTTGACTAAAGAAGAAGTTTACGAATCAACTACTTACAATGTAACATGGATTACAACAACTCATATTTGCTTCAACAGAAGCATCCGTAGTGAAGACTACAATGCACCAACATAATAATTTCCAGTGAACATTCACTCATGATTCAGGACCTGTTTTCCAGGCAAAAAGGCTGGAAATACGGCAAGACAAAAATTCAGTATCCTCTGCAGAGAAGTTTCAAACCTCTGTGCATCAAAAACCCAAAATCCGTCATTATGAATGTCTAGAAAGCAGGTCAGGAACAGGGGTTTTTTTATACTTATCCCTCTTCCCAATTTTTAAATTCTTGATCCATCATTATTTTCTCAATACTCTTCCATCTTTTTAACTGTTACTTCAAGTTCTATAGATTAAGAATCAAAAACTGAAATGCATTTGAATTCCTATGTGTCCAAGACCTGTAGTGAGAGTAGGTAAGTTGACTCAGACAATGGTCATCTTTCCTTCCAACTCCTATACAACATTCACTGCAGAACAGTAAGAATTGTAAATATCTTAGAGATCTTCTAAAGCCACAGACAGTGGAAATCTCAATGTCATAATTTTTGGACATTAAGAACCACAGTCCCTTTATGAACTTTTAAACAATAGAGAGAAATCTGTATGACCTGACTAAAAAAGAGATACTTCATTTTTTTTCACAGAGAAGACATCTGTACATTTAACATTCCTTTTTCCAAGTCTTAACAGGGTGGGGAAGTGAGGGCAACAACCACTTATTACATGTGAAAGAAATTCTATCATCACTTTCTGGAAAGGAGGTCACCACCTTCATATGCACATGAAGAGTGTCTCAAAACATTTGGAAGGTATGGTTTTTGCTTGGCTCACTTGTTCTTGCACAGTTCTTTGTATCAGCTGCAGCCCCAGTACCGCAGAATGAGATGAGTGAGAAATGTCTGTCAGTAGTTTCTGCAGATGCTTACATCCAGTAACTGCAGCCTGTTCTTTGTCTCCCTCCCTGGCCAAACAGAGCATGGCAGGGCCACAGGAGGAAGAGCCACAGTACAGCTCTTGAGGACACTGTGACCCCTAGGATCCATCAGAACTTTGAGAGCTTCAAAAAGTCAAGCTGAGAAAACACTTCTCTGCAAGAGGTACGATTCAAGTTATGACAAACTGGCACTTACAGTGTTAGTGATAAAGCTCTAAATACACAGCACTAACTCTTACAGTTACCTCCTCAAAAACTAACTGAAAGTGATGCTGGGTTTGATGAGGGGGTTTTATTCCAAAGAAAATTCCCTTTTAAGGGACTTACCTTCTCCAGTGTCAACGAATCCGCAGGCTCAAGACTGATGGAAGCCAGGGACTGCAGAGCTGATAGACTTAATCCACCTGCTAAAAAGGATCATGCTGGAGCTGGTAAGAACCACTGGCTGCACAGTCCAAATCTAATTCACTTAATCCAGCGTGATGTCCCTAGAGAACTTTACTGCCTAGTTTCTTGGCCAGGCAGAGTCACAGCACTACTCTGAAACCAACAGCCCAGGGTCACTGAGGTCCTAAGGGGCCCAATACACAGCAGACCAATGCATCTCTCCCCAGGCACACTCTCATAAATAAGCAGAAAAAGAATATCTCACATCAAGTTATATTGTAGAATTAAAACACTTGCACCCCACTCAGCATTTATGCCTACTGTGAAACAGAAAAGAACTGCAAGGATGAAAATAAATTTCTTCACACAGAAGTTGGCAGAAGACTCATTTGAACCCCAGCCACAATCAGTTCATACAAACCACCACTGTCAGTCTTCTCTGCATCTTGTTTCAGAAAGACTAAAGGATCATCACCATCATTTCAGGAACTTCTAAATAAAGCTCACTGCACCCATACAGCCTCAGTACAATCTTGATCATCGGGACAAAACAGTGTTCTAAAGCCAAGCCTCTTTTTGTGCAAGTACATCACCCAATCTCAGAGGCAGACATCGAAGTGTTTCATATACTCTAAAACAAGGTCTAATATAACCCAAGGCTGATGGGTTATACAAGATATTTTCCCTCATGGTGGATTTCCAGCTCCTCTCAGACAAAAACCGATCAGGACCCCATGTAAGACCTCTGCCACAAAGGGGAACATCCCTTCAGTATTAATCATCAACTCAGCAACAGGACAGAAATACACCTTTATCTCTAATAGTGTTGTTCTTAAAGCACACTCCACAGCTATCTTTTGAATTTTGGTATTTTCAGTGTTTCCACATGCCCACTGCATTTTATTTTTTTTTTAAGTAACCCCCTTCACCAACACTGAACTCTTCAGCATCTTAAGTCTGCCAAAGCTTGCTTAAAAAGTTTATTTTCTATCTCACTGCAATAGCTTCGTCAGAAATCACTATCACTTCTAAACTGTCAACAAAATTGGGATGTTACACCCAGGCATCTCTGCTCATCTACTCAGTACAAACTTGCTTCCATTACCAGTTTAGTATGCTAGGCGTACACTGTCTGAAATGACAGTAGTAAGATCACCAGGCATCACACAAATCTCACGTGTTGGAGCTCTCAAGTTGCCACAGTCCAACTATCAGCTATTTTCAATACAGCACAGGAAAGCACAGTCAACAAATTTCTTTCTGAAAGGAAGATTGCTTTCCATGTACAATTTTTAAATAAATTGTCAAGTTCTAGTTAAAATTATAAAAAAATAAACTTACAAAAACCAACCTCAAACTTTTGAGAAATATCATCTTCAAAATACTGTATGACGTTAGAAAAGAATAACTTGAGGTGAGGAACTGAAAGCATATTATGAATAAATACTCACAGCTTTTACACTACAAATAAAGCCCGTTGAATGATCTCTGTGGTATTGGTTTGTAGGTAGCAATTGAACTGAGCTAATGACATGAACAGGATACAAAAGAGAAACTTTACACATAATTCTGAACACCAAGATGCTTCAGGTATTTCTGTCAGCATTGTGTGTTTTTAAAAATACATTTCAATTAAAAACAGATGATTTTTTTTGCTATTTGGGGTTGTTATTTCAACTTACCTTTCTATGATAAACAAACCTAGAGCCAAAGTAGCACCTTCCTGAAAACTACTCTATTTTTTGGCTGAACTTCTTTCCTTCACAGTACTTTCTTCAATGTTCCCATACACATTTCATAAAGACTATTCAGTCAAACACTAGTGATTTTAAAGGAACAGTAAAGACAAACTAGCTTTAGACACATGTATCAATACAGAGCTTTTCAAGCAAGGCCCTGCTTCCTGTATCTGACAGCCTAAAATCTCTTAAAAAAAAAAAAAAAGGAACAAAATACACAAAACCACCAAACATAAAATCAAAACCAAAACAACCCTGTCCAGGTTAGAATGAGAGTTACATCTACCACCATCAAGAGCACAAGTTTTCAAACATCCCTATTGTATCCCTAAAGTGGTACTGCAGAGCTTGACAGTGGCTGCAACAGCACTTGCATTTCCTGATCAGCTGTTCAGAGCAGATCCACAGAGGATGAAGGAAGGAATGAGCTGAGCTGTTCATGAGTTGTGGGCATGCCCAGGAAGATCATCAGAGGAAAGGACTGATTTGATGCAGGGTAGCTGGGGAAGAGATAGTTAGGAGTAGGTATAGTACATGTACTAGAAAGGTGAAGGAATAAGAAGGCTGTGCTGACTGTAGCAGTAAAAGAAAATTGCATGTGAACTTCTATTTGGACTTGCTGGGAAATAAGAGACTTGTACAATTCACCCAAGACACTACATTCAAAAGGTCATTCTCATTCCTGTGATTATTTCAGAAGAGCAAAATAAAGTTATAAACTAATCGATATTTACACAAGAAATGGAATAAGCTGGTATCCCTTCATATTTCTTTATAGGTGATCAGAAATAGCTGTATTCAACTGCCCTCATGCAGCATAGCATCAACTGTATACAAAATTCAGAGTAGGTATCACATTCTGTTAAGTGATTCTAACACCCTTTGAAAACCCTAATCAAGCTGCTTTGAAATCTGAGTTTTAATACTCCAAATGGAAATATCTAGATGTTTCTACAATCCAGCACCTAAAGAAACAAACCCATACTGCTTTTAGATTCATCATTCAGTATTTATCAGTCATTACTAAGCATCCACTTGGAGGTCTTCACTAAAAGAGATGGCATACTTATGAAGTAGATCACAAGGATGTCGACGTCTCCTGCCTTGGTCACACTGTATGCCCTAATGCAAGATGAGGGCTGAACCCCAGCTAATACAACACGCAAACATATATAATAATTGCAGAATTTGTCATGTCCCCACACCCACAACCTACATAGCCCACTACTAGTAAATATAGACAGGCAATGACCCTATTCTTGGACTGTTCTCAGCCACCACACCCCAGTTGCTCTGTAAATCAAAACAGCAATAAGATGAAGCTAAAATAATCTCCCACACTGAGTGGATGACAAGCACATTGCAATCAAAGACTAGTTCTGAGAAGAGGAACTTTATTAAAGATAATCATTAACTGGTATTCTTCAGATGAATTTGTTTCTAACTGGTAGCTATTCAACTGCAAGCATCTCACCAACAGAAACAAGTCATTTCAAAACACTAAGCTTCCAACACTTAAAAATCATACCTTCTACCATAGGTTAAACCATTCACTATCTCCATGCTCCTACCAATTTATTCCTTACAATGCATCACTCTTAAACATCACTTTGCTGTCTCCTGATTTCTCATGTATTAACAACAAAACCAAGAAACAGGGAAAGAAGAGTTATATGTTGACACCTAAACAAAGCTAAGCATAAGCAACTACTTTGAGTAACAGGCTTTTCAGAAAGAGTAGTAGTCTGAACAAGAAAGG